ATTTCAGGTTCATCTCTCTGTGCATTCTTGCATGCGTAATGAGCTGTGAATTCACACGCGATTTAGTTACGAAATTTCTACCAGCTCAATTTCCCTGAATTTGATGTAAATGTCTTCTAAGACATTTAATCAATTCAAAGATTTTTAATCTGACCAAATGCAGAGAAGTTCTCTTAAAATCTTCACTGCTCATTGCGCATACAGGAATGCCGATTTAAATTTGACACCAGTTACGGGAACGACTAACGGATTCATTTTTTCAAATAATCAATTCATTAATAGAATCTTTTTGGGGTAAGTTTGACCTGTCTTGGCTGTAAACGTTGGATTTTGTATGCCTTCTCTTTTATTTACAATACCGCAACCGGTGCAGCAAGCATCGGTGGTCTTAACTTCTCATGCCTTTTCGAGAGAGCCGAAATATAGATACCGGTAAATAAATGTGAATGTTCTCAGAGGCTCAACTTTTCCCTGGGGAATCTATTCTGAGGTTCATTCACCAATCACAGCACCGGAAATTATTTGCGTCATGGCATTAACATTACAACCAATAAGAGGCTGTCCCCAACATTCCCGGGAAACGGGAACACGATTATCGTCGGCGATTCACAGCCGTCTCCTCTCCCGATTTTTCCTGAGGGATGGGGGACGTCTGTACACAGGCTAAATAAAACTCTGTTTCAAAACTATATCTGGTGTTTTGTTCCATTAAGCCAAGACATGTACACCTACATAAAAAATGCAAGAAAAGAGTAAATAGAAAGAAAAATTTTAGAATCATATAGCTTTTCGAATGATCACATCACCTCTCTTCCAGCTAAACTGTGGTCTCATACAGAAAATCATTTCCCTTTGCTTTTTTTTTTTGCTTTTAATATGCGGTACTTATAAACGGGCTACTATGGACAGGTCTGTTGTTTCGTTTGCTACAAAACAGGTAGCTAAGCACTGTTGGGGGACGAGGACAGTTATAAACACGTGAAAAGAAACGAGTATACACCTAGTGGACATGCAGCAGGAGGCTGCCCACTGGTAAAGAGAAATCCCTTCATTGGTGTGGAAAAGGTACTTATTATCTTTATTCAGGAAAACCAACTGTCTTATCATTCATGAATTTTAATCAGCGGATCCAATTGTTACAATGAATACGAAAGGCATAAAAAGACCAAAGTGCGGATTCAAATGCTGAACCCATAATAATTACTTCTAGCGCAGTGCCTTCAGTTTCTATCGCTACTTACAAACTGAAGGTATACATCAACTTGGAAATATAGGTCACGGACTCAGTCTTACCTGATGGCATTTAAAGCATGCCCACTCAAAGGAAGGGCTGGTAAAGGCAAGTTCATTTGCACCAGCCTCGAGGTCAGCTTCAGCTTGTCAAAACCATCGCTTGGCTTCTTCAGGTTGGGGATTCCTTTCGCAAAGGCTTGGAGGAACACTTTTCCTTGATCTGTGACTAGATGAGGACCCCTAGGAACCGAACCTCTCAGAAAACCGTTCTTTGTATCCTTTTCCGCTGTGAGCCATGTTCCCTTGCACGTGCTTCACAAAAAGCAAATAAGTCGTCGCAAGAACCTCCAAGCCGTGAAACTTCGTTCCTAATGTGCTGGAGAACTGCTCTTTAGAATTCCTCGCTGCCTAAATTCTTCTCTGGATGCCACCGTAGACAAAGACGCTTGATAATTTGGAGCTGTTCCTCTTGTGGTAGTTCCCATGATTTCCTTAGTACATCAGTGACTTCATTTAGGACCTCTTGTCTGTTTTGGCAACAATTTAGTTGCTGTTCAAATATGTCATTTAAGCAGTGGAATTGATACAGTTTGTTAGATTTAACTACCACTGGTTCTTTGTCGTGTCCAATGTTGATTTTGTACTTCTTCGTCAGGAGATCTGCGTCCTCATTACTTACCTCAATCATCAAATACAAGAGAATCATCAAATATAAGATCTGTTGCTTGGTGGAGAGTAACAGGGATGATACTGGGAAACGTATTTAGACAAGCACATCCCAGGGGCATGGCTGGTAAGTACAATTTAGAAAGTAAAGAGATGTTCTCCTCTTCTTCCTGCAACGTATCGAAAAACCCTTTTACAGCCTTAGAGCATATGCGAACTTCATTTGGATTATGTCTGCTATCCTGACAACCCTTCTGCAACATCTCGAGGAACATGGCGTAGTGGGTGGGTCTTGCATACTTGGCCCGGAACATCCAAGGAACTCAAACAGTTCTCGAAACTTGCCAAATTCTGGCGGCACTCCATAAAGGAACGGTTTTATCTCATCCTTTTCGTACAGATCAAGGACTGCTTGACTTGGTATAATGAATCTCTTGCCCTTTTCAATCAAAATACAACGAGTAGTTTGAAGCGTGATCTTTGCTCCAAGATCGTCGATCGCGTTCGCCTGTAGAAATATGTATACACTTTCCATGACCCGCGTTATCGCAGAAAACTGTTCGCTTGATGCGTTTTCTTTATCGTTTCTGCTTTCAAGGTGGAGGCAGATTGTTTTACAGTGACTAACAACAAGATCAACCGGCGGCTTCTTCAGAATTTTCAGTTTGGAGAAGAGATGACTCAGATAATGGTCAACATTTCTATGAGGACAGCCCCCCTAAAAAAGCTTACTCTAAGTGTAACATAACAAGGTTTAGAATCAGAACTGACAAGAGACGAACCAGTAGGCTAATTTACAAGCGTGGCCGAGGATTGATTGCGCAAGTAGAATCACACAGAACTTTAAGCTATTATGACTACCATACTGTTATCCCAAAACTATTTGGCCTAATATTGCTCAAACTAATTTATAATTTCATTAGGAGAAAACAACGAAAACGAGCAATTGACAAGATTTGAAAATCTTACACTGAAAACTGTACCTTCTCTGAGTTTCTACAATAATTGCTATATAATCGAAAACCCGGATTTGGCAAAGGTTTTTGGTTTTGTTTTGTTATTTTGTTTTATCCCAGCTACACTAAAATCATTTGGAAAATGGCCCCTTATATTTAGAAAAGGGGCCATGCCACGTTTTATGCTAAAACGTTTTTCGCATCAATTGAAATCCAAAAAAATGATCTAGTTTTGTTATTTAGGACTGTATTTAGGCATTCTGTTACAGCCAGGGTGCGACAAAAACGGGGTCACTGATCAAAACCACCTGTCTGGGGCAAGTGGTTTTTATCAGTGGACAAGTAGGTCATCATCCTTAAAAAATTAAAAATTAAAAATTAAATCAAACGGTGCTTTCAACATGTTTTAGCCAAGCATAAAGTATACAGCCAGGTTTTCACAAGAGTAAAACAGATCGCTTTTGGTGAAAGCAACTTACAAGTTATGCACCTATCAATGTAAAGCCGTCGGGGGGTGGCGGGGCAGGGCATGGGGTGGGGATTTGATTGTCTTTGTTGGCCCTGGGGTAGGGCATTTGACTGATCTTGTTCTCCCAGGGGGGGGGGATATTTGAATCTTTCTGACTGAGACCGAACATATGTTTCCCGCTTCCACGCTTCACGCATGCGCCGTAAGGTTTGAAAAGATGAAGTCATGGAGGCCAATGAGAACAACCGAAGGCTGAGTGGATTTCACTGTTTTGTCTTCAAATTTCGTTAGTTTTAGCGGTTTTTTTTATCAATTGAACCTCTTAAAATACTGTGGTATCAAAGTAAACGGAAGTAAAAAGAAACCAAGTCGATTTTTGCAAGTACAATTGATTAGTGTGTGGCTCATTCGCTACAATCACTGTAAACTTATAAAACTGACTTTCTTTGTGCCCTTTACTAAGAACGGTGTATTTAAACTTACAAAATGTGGACTTTCTCTAAACGTTTATGTATTCTACGCAGTGTAACACGGATTATGGTTAAAACGTATAATTGCAGCTGTAACAGGAACATTTATCTTAGGTGATGCAGCAACGTTTATAAAAGATAGCAGAGTTTTATTTGGAGATATTTTTATTGTGCCTTTCTTGGGTTCTGCCTTGGGATTGACAGCAATGTGCAGCCGGGGGTGGAGAAATTTGGTTGCATTTGACTGGAATGATTTGCCCGTGGGCAGGGAATTTGATTGCAAATTTTTGAAAAAAATCACATCCCCACCCCATGCCCTGCCTCCCCCCACGCCGGCATTACATTGATAGGTGCATTAGAAATGAAAAGAGAGCAGCACTGATGCAGGTGACTTACGATCCGAAATTTTAGTTCATTGCGCACTGAAAGGGGCCTAGGAATCTTGGGGGGTCGACTTTTGCATCTATAATAGACCCTCTTGGTAACTATTAGCTCGTAGGGGCTATTTTGGCGTATCAGTGAAGCAGCTGAAGAGGAAAGGAAATTCTTCCGCAGAAAACACTGGCGTGATTGAGAAGAAACATAGTTGTGACAGCCCAACGGTATGAGTTCGAGAGTTTCAGATTTCTTGGGAAGAAACCTTCCCCTACCGGGTAGTACATGATGCAAACGAAAACACAGTATATAAGCATACAATTACTTGTAGGAGTACTTTATTGACAATTAAAATGCTGTATGTTTTATCTGAGTTCCATGCCTCATTAGAACTTTAATTTGATTTAACTTGACATGCAGTGACAATAAGACCTGAGCTTTGGACAAGTACAATTAGAACCTCACTTGTCCATTGGAAAAGTGAAGTGTAAAATTTTTTTCTAACCCCGACAGAGGATTGCAAAGATGGATGCATGTGGATTGAAACAAGAAAAAGTTGGGCCAGCCTAGTTTTGATGCTATGACTGCAAAAATTACTAAAGGAAAATATTATGGTAAGTGCTCTATGATTCCCTGAATTTTGCTTGATATCTTCTTCGCAACGCGAAACGAGCATTTTGTGTATAGGTTAAAGCACTAAGTCATGCTTTCAGCACAGAATTGACCTGAAACCGCAATATCCTCGTAACATAGCCCCCGTAATGCTCTTGCGAACGGAGGATGTTCTCAGTCCTCGGTTTCTCCACATGCGTTAATCGTGGTTCGCCTACCTGTCAAGTGAAATACTGACTTAAATCCCAGGCCAAACCGACCAACTTTCATAGGATCTTTAACTTTATTGCTGTCATATATCTTTCTGATACCTTCCCAATCGTCTTTGGTGAACTGGGCATCGTTATAGGCATACAGCGCTGGACCCTGTTTTCAAAGAAAAAGTTTCTATAAATATTAGTTGGCCCTCTTTGCCTCGATCGCATCTATAGAATTAAAAACAACTTGGAAAGAGGGCCAATTGACATGGTGGAAAGAAATTAACTAACATTTGGAATACAGTATATAATATTCCCTCTGTTCACCACTAAAAAAAATAGGTAACGAAATCGCCCTACCCCTCTCCCACGTTAACCTGTTAATCCCACTCTGTCTTTCTCATCACGAAACTCGATGTTTACAACACCCCCTGCCAGCACGCAAGGTTACAACTGATTAGAGCAACCTTATTTTACACCAGTGTCAAATTATGATTGTGAAACTTACTTGAAACTTTGCCAGACTTGTGTTATAGAGTTTCTGTGCTGAGTCGCTGTTTTTGTCATAAAGGAACTTAACTTCAGTTGCACCTGCATCTTCAGCGTTTTGAATAAGCTCCTATTAAGACAATCATTGTTGACTTATCAAATAACTGGTTCGTTTACCTTTGAGCTACTAAATTACAGTACAGCACGTAAAATGGAACGCCACACTCTCTAACATTAACTTTGGATCCTAGTAGTATTTTGATTATCAGTCAGGCAAATTGTTTCACCGGAGAACTGCACTTTATTGGGTTTCTCAACAGAATAGTTTTATTACTAATAATTTTCACTAAAAACATATTAAACAGGGTTTAATTGAGTCTTAATTGTCTCAAACTCCACACAGCTAGTGACAAGGCATTTTGCAACATCGATATTTCCGGCATTCCTTCTCCCTGTTCCCCTTTTGTCTACAATTAGTCTAAGGTACTTGTAAATTATTTTGTTTTTTCCTTCATTTTTACTTCATATACTGTTCTTAAACAATGGTGAAATTAACTTTAATAAATAAAAATTTAATGAAACTGAGTAAATAAAAAAAAAAAAACGAACACTCGCACGAAAAGAAACGGTATCACTCTTATGAGAAAATTTTTTATGTTCCCTATATTTTACTTTGATTGGGATCGAACAAACTCGAACTACATGTCTACACCTTTTTCGATGAATATAGCTTAGCTTAATACAAAGATTGGCTAGTGCGCGGCCTTGAAGTAAATGTAACTTGGGTGATGCTTCTATCCATTAAGTGTTGCAGTTTCAAAATAGCAAACATAGCGTGGAGGTTATTCGGCATAGAACCCATGCACAACCATAACATATCCTGCGAAAATAGTCGGAAAGTACGACATGGAAACATATCGACTGCAACTTTGCAAACCTAGCTTCGATATCACTCCCAACGAGAAAACAACAAAACAAAACCAAAAACCAAAACCAATAAAAAAGGACCATGTGAATCTTTGCCGCAAAAAAAATCGGCTGCAACTTCGCCTTTCGTCCGTATTCCGAATAACAGACATACTTCCTTGCTTGCATTTACATTCTTATTCTTCCTATGAAATGTCCCCTTGGTGTCTGTATTAACTTAAACAAGTCTTACCTTCAGTATCTGCCCATCATCAGGGTATTGATCAAGAATGGTCTTCAACTGTTGCAAGAGGGTTGGCTTTATCACGTTAAAATCTGAATCATCATCTTCTTCCATCACTACAGGAGAAAAAAATCATAAAAGTCAGGAAAAATCTATGAGGATCAGCAGCGGCGACAGGAAAAACAGCCAAAAGTACCCTTTTCCAAGCTACAACGATAACCAATTTTTCTCAGGAATTTTTCTTACTTACTCTGTTCACTCATTGTGATAAAAAAAAGTCAAGACCCATAAACTTGTTGATATCCCTTTCCTAAGTAAAAA